TTTCACTGTAGTACTTGACTTTGTCTTCTTGAGCTGCCCTTTGAAGTTTTCTGCTTATCTCTTTACTTCCTCATTTCTTCCACCCACTCTAGCTTCTCTATGCTCAAGAGCAAGTTTCAGAGTCTTGTCTGATATTTATTATGGTTGTTTCATTCTTTCCTGTCTTTTTAATGACTTTTTGCTTTCTTTACGTTCTTGATCTTCGGCCATTAGTGTCTAATGCAGCACATCTGTTCTTGAGATGGTCTATAAATTCAGGTGGGATATATTCAAGATCAAGGAGCTCTGGTAGCATAGTGGTTGTGAATCGGGCTGCTAACCTCATGGTCAACAGTTCAAAACTACCAGCTGTTCCACGGGAGAAAGATGAGGCTTTCTGCCCCCATAAAGATTTACAACCTTGGAAACCCAATACGGGGTTGCTATGAGTCAGAATGGACACCATGGCACACCACCACCACCATATTCAAGATCACATTTTATTTTGTTTGAATTTTCTTCAGTTTCAGCCTGAACTTGCATATAAGCAATTGATGGTCTGTTCTGGTAGGCCCTTGTTTTGGCTGATGATATTGGGCTTCTCCAACCTCTCTTTCCACAGATATAGTCAATTTTCCTGTGTGTTCCATCTGGTGAAGTCCATGTGTATAGTTGCCTTTTATTTTTTAAAAAAGGTATTCGTTCGCAATGAGTAAGTCATCGATATTGCAAAATTCTGTCGTTCTATTTCTAACATTGTTTCTGTCACCAAGGTCACATTTTCCAATTATGGATCCTTCCTCTTTGTTTCCAACGTTACCATGCCAATCACCAGTAGTTATCAATGCATTTTGATTGTATGTTTGATCAATTTCAGACTTAAGAAGTTAGTAGAATTCTTCAATTTCATCATCACTGACTTTTGTGGTTGCTGCATAAATTTGATAATAATGGTATTAACTGGTTTTCTTTATAGCCGTATGGATATTATTCTATCACAGACAGCATTGTACTTCAAGATCTTGATCTTTTTGATGATGAATGCAATGGCATTCCTCTTCAATTTGTCCTTTTGTCATAGTAAACCATATTGTTGCTGTTGTTAGGTGCCATTGAGTCAGTACCCTATGCACGACAGAACGAAACACTGCCTGGTCCTGGGTCAACCTCAAAATTGTTGCCACGCTTGAGCCCATTGCCAGTCCATCTCACTGGGGGTCTTCCTCTTTTTCTCTGACCCACCACCTTACCAAACATGATGTCCTTCTCCAGTGACTGGTCCCTCCTGACAATATGTCTGAAGTTTGAGAGATGAAATTTGGCCATCCTAGCCTCCAAGGAGTACTCTGACTGCACTTCCTCCAACACAAATCTGTTTGTTCTTTTGGTAGCCCATGACACTTTCAGTATTCTCCTCCAACACCATAACTCAAATGCATCAATTTTTGCACGGTCATCTTTATTCACTGTCCAGCTTTCACATGCATATGAGCTTATTGAAGTTCGTAAAATCCACTAGAGCTCCTTCCTGTGTGGAGTAGGTAGTAAGATAACTGCTAAGAGGAGGTAGTTAGAGGGTTGAAGAAAGGGGGAGATATTAAGAATTCCTCCAGAAGATGGAGAGAGGGATTGATGAGACAGGTATAAAGGTTTTTCTGGTATCCATCAGCACCACTTTCATGGTGTCTTCAGAACTAGGATGATAGATTGATGAAAAGAAATCTAATTGGTATTTAGGGCTCTGATCACCTTCAGTTCCCATAGAAAAGTGCTTATGGAATACATAAACTAAGTCATCCTGATGAGTTCTGATGAGTTCAGTAGCCACTTCTGAATGTTTGTTTGCTTCAGTCTCCTCTTTGGTAATTTGATTTCTATGAATGATAATGCATATCATTATTAGAATAAATGAGAGACTTCACAAATAAGTACTTCTGGGATCTTTGGGATGCTTAATGTGAAGGCCTGAATTTCTAGTTTTATCTGACAAGCTGCAACCCTGCTGTGTCCAATAGGATTCTCTTACTAGCCACATGTGACTCTTTACATTTAAATTAAATTAAATTAAACTGAAAATACAGCTCCTCAGTTGCACTTGTTGCTGTGTGCTGTCACGTTATTTCTGATTCATAGCATTCCTATAATAGGGTTTCCTAGAGTGACTGACCTGTGATTGGCTGTCCAGTGTTTATCCTACATTTAAGTAGCCACATGTGTGTGGCTAGTGGGCACCATATTGCACAGTAAGGAGATAGAACATTTCCATCATCAGAATATTCTTTGAAACAACACTGGTCGAATTTGTCTAAAGGAGTCCAGCCGAGTTGTTTCTGAGGTTAGATTGTGTGTAGAATTGTGATCCAGTGACAAATAAACAGACAATAAATCTCATCTAGCTATCTGTGTGTTGTGATGCACAGTTGCCTTTTGAGCATGTTCTTTTGAAATTCTGCTCCCTTCAGTGGAAAAACCAGCCTCCCTCAGCCCACATACCCCTGGGCCTGCCTCCTCTGCTGTCTGTATCTTCCTCATGGTCAAGTGACCCAGAGAGCTTGCTGACCAAGCAGATATCCTGGATAAAGAATAGGCGGCTTGTCAAAGAGCCCCTGTGGATTTTATTTATATTCTACACATACAGCTTATAAATGCAAGGCCTGTGGACTCTTAACATTTTTAATAATCAAATAGAAGCCAGGGTCTGCTTGTAGAAGAGACACCAGCCAGCGCTTTTGAAGTGACCCCAGGAGAGGTTAAGAAGGGAAGTCATATTACATATGACAGACATACAAACACAGGTATATGCATCCTTTCCCGCAATAGCTCCTTTTACTTTATCTGTTTCAGCCAGTAATTTCTTTGACTCCAAAATTCTAAGAACCCTATATAGAAAAACCTGTTACCATTGAGTTTTTTCTGACCCACAGTGATCCATCCCACTTGTGTCAGAAAAGAACTGTGCGCCATATGGGTTTTGGGTTTTTTTTTAGCTTTTTATTATGAATGGGGTGAAGGTTTATAGAGAAGATCATCAGCTTTACATTCAGCAAACCATACACCTTTTTTCATCTCAATGATGACAGTCCCCTCCCTGCAACAACATCTATCCCACTTCCTCCCTGTGGCTCCCCACTTACATCTTATATTTCACAAATGAACGAGGCAAAAATATTGATGCAAACTTAAAAAACAAAAAATATATATATTCATTTAAATGTCCAAAGGACACATTCAGCCAGCCAGCCTCCTGCCTGCAGGCACACAGCCACTGTCTCTGCTCTTGCTGCTTTTCTAGGTAGGGTTCTTGGTCTACACTCATGCTCTTCCTTCTTGATGGTCCTGGGCCAGATTATAGGTTTGGTCATTAAAAACAGTGAAAAACCTCTGTGAAGAATTTTAACCAGGGGATGACATAATCTGATCGCCCCTCTTCTGCAACATGGGGAATGCTTTAGAGTAAGAGCAGTAGCGATTATGGGACAACCTCTTAGGAGACTACTGCAGTGGTTCCACCTAGAGAGGCTGGTGGCTTGGTCCAGGATGGTGGTGGGGGTGGAGAAGAGTGGATAAAGATACCAGAGGCCAAGCCTACAGGACTGAGTGACAAGTTAGGTAATGGAGAAGCAGATGTAGGCATGGTTCCCAAAATAGGAAACCTTGGAAAGGAAACCAATTTGGGAGGAAGATGACAAATCAACTTTAGACATCAGGTAGGCTGTTGGTCTATTGGTTGGATCTCAGGGAGGGAACTGGGCAGGGATTAAGTAAATAGGACATTCATTAGCACATAAATGACGAAACTGTGGGCATGGATGGATTTTCCCAGAGAGACCAGTTGCCATAGAGTTGATTCCCACTTATGGTGGCCCCATGTAAGCCACAGTAGAACTGTTCTCTGTAGGTTTTTTGTTTGTTTTTTTTCAATGGCTGAGTTTTCAGGCATAATTGCCAGACCAAAAGACACTTCTGAACAGATTTGAACCTCCAACCTTTGGATTAGCAAGGGAGACTACTAACCATTGACACCAGTCGGGGACTCATCTCAGACAGAAAAACCAAAACCTGAACCCACTGTGGTCCATTTGATTCCAGCTTGTAGCAACTCTACAGTACAGAGTAGAACAGCTTTGCAGGGTTTCTGAGACTATACGTGTTTACTGGAGCAGACAGCCTCATCTTCCTCCTACAGAACAGGTGATGGGGTGCAACTGTCAACCTTAGCAGCCCACCATGTAACCCACAGAGCCATCGGGACTGCTTTCCCAGAGGAAAGGTATGTCAGATGAGGAAAGAAAGGGTCAAGCAGTGAAGACTCTTTAATACCAGGTGGAAGAGACCCAACAAGCCCTGAACACCTAGAGAGGTAGACTGAAAACCCACAGGTGTTTGTCTGTTAACTCATTGAGGTGGAGTAAAACTATTAAAAAAAAGGGGGTATCTTTTGACTTCTCTCTAGATATGTTTCCCCATGGTTGTGTTTAGTGTCAGCTGAGTCTCTTTCAACTCATAGTGACCCTTTAGGACAGAACAGAGCTGTTCATAGGGTTTCCTAGACTATATATATATATTTTAAAACTTTTTATTGTGAATTGAGTGAGGCTTACAGAGCAGATCATCAGTTTGACATCCAACAAATCATATACTTTGCTTCATTATATGGTTGCAACAGGCTATAATTTTTACGGAATCGAATTGCCAAGTCTTTTCACCTCCAGAGCAGCTAGTGGGTTCAAAACTGCTGAACTTTCAGTTAGCAGCCAGTGCTTAACCATTGAGTCACCAGGACTCCTATTTTCCCATTACCATTCCCAAACTCATTACATGGCAGCTGTGACTCTATAATTCTGCACGGTGTTCTGTGTATACAGTATATTGATTTGTTTTTCTCTTACTGTGACAGATTGCAGTGTATGTTTTCTGTCTGGAACAATAACTTTCTTTCATCTCTTCTTCGTCCGTCACTGCGCTTTTGGCTGCTATTGCGGTTTGTTGCAAATCAGAGCTCGTTTAATCCCACGAAGTCCTAAACAGTATCTGGTCTCGGTGGCTCTATAATTCTACTCCAGGCACCCCACCTTCATTTGCCAGCTGGGATCTCTTAATGAGTGAGCTGCACACAGTTCAATACTAAAATTATTTTTGCTGGTGAAATATGTTTGAAGAAGTCACATTTGGAAGTGTTCCATGTTCGACCTGCTTCCATTCTGTTGCTGGCGTTCTCTTTGCAGGATGGCTGTAGCTCCTCCAAGTTACTGTTTCGTGGCCTTCCCTCCACGTGCTAAGGATGGTCTCGTGGTATTTGGGAAAAATTCAGCTCGGCCCAGAGATGAAGTGCAGGAAGTTGTGTATTTTTCCACTGCTGACCATGAACCTGGGAGCAAGGTTGAGGTAAGTCATGCATTGCAATCTTTCCATCAGTACTTACTCTTTCTCCAGCTTCGCAGCCAACACACGGGCACTTCTTTCCTAGGAAGAATGATCCGAGAACAGTCACATCAGTCTGCATGTTCCTGTTTCTATTCAGCATTGCTCTTAGCCTTAAAACTAGAGCCACGTGAAGATATCTGCATTCAAGGCTATACTTGTACAATTGTAGTATAATTAAGTATAATATTTAGGTGCTTTTAAAGGCAAATCTACAAAGGCTATTCATAGAAGTCTAACCTTTATCCCTGTCTAACTTTGTTTCTTCTTTCTCCCAAGTGTGGAGAGTTATTTGGTGTAGCCTTCCGTTAAACAAATTATATCTATATACACAGATCCTGGTGTGGCGTTGTAGGATAAGCATTGGATTACCAACCACAAGGTCAGTAGTTCAAACCCACCAGCTGCTCCTCGGAAACCCTGTACAAGGTTGCTATGAGTCAGAACCAATTCAATGACACTTCGCAACAAATGCATACGTATGTATATACATACATATACAAAAATGTAAAATATCACACCCACGTATGCATATATATAAGATATGCATATTCATCCCAGTAATCCCTTTCCTAGATGAATAATAACATTCTATATACACTTTCCTGGTGTAATGCTGTAGGATAAGCAGTGGACCATAAGTTCAGTTTAAACTGCAAGGTCAGTGGTTCAAATTCATCAGCCACTCCTCAGAAACCCTATACAGGGTTGCTATGAGTCGGAACAACCTGTACACTTTTCTCCACTTTGCTTTTTTCCTGGAGATCACATTATACAGTATATAGAGATAGTTTACATTTCCCCATTTAGAGCTGCATTGTTGTTAAGTGCTGGCAAGTCAGTTCCGACTCATAGAGACCATGTATAGAGTTTCAGAGGCTTTAAATCTTATGGGAGCAGAAAGTCTCAGCTTTGTCCTATGGAAGGGCTGGTGGGTTCAAACCACCGACTATGTAGCCACTGCAGTCTTAGAGCTGCATAGTGTTCCATTGTATTTCTGTCTAGTTAATCAGCACCCTGTTCCTGGACATTTGGGTTCTTTCTCAGTCTTCTTCTGTTACACATAGTACCTTTATGAACTTGTCACAGTATCTGCTTTTGGTTTCTCTCTATATATTTAATCATATTGACAAAGTGTCCATCATTGTCTATTTGTTGTTGTTGTTATGTGCTGTGGAGTCGGTTCCGACTCATAGCGACCCTGTTTCTGAGGCTGTAAATCTTTACGGGAGCAGAAAGTCTCATCTTTCTCCCGCGAAACAGCTGGTAGTTTTGAAATGCTGACCTTGTAGCTCGCAGCCCGATTCATAAACACTACGCTACCAGAGCACTCCTTATTGTTTATTTAGGGGTTTTTAAATATTATCATTTTGTCTCACAATTATAAAGGTCATCAATGAAAATATAGGGACAAATTCAAGGGTTCTAATCCAGGGCACACACATACTACTAAGTGCTGTGAAAATTACACAAACAGAAGACAAAATAGATCATTGGGACATTCTAAAAATTAGAAACTTATCTGCATCAAAGGATTTCACCAAAAGAGTAAAAAGGAAGCCCACAGAATGGGAAAAAATCTTTTGCAATGACATATCAGAAAAGGGACTAATTTCTAAAATCTATAGGAAACTACAGTACCACTAAATATTATTGTTTTGCTAATATTTCTTTGAGCTAGGATTCTAGAAATGGAATTGCTGGGGAGGGAAAATGAATATGTAATTCTGTTAGATACTGTCAAATTCCCTTCCTTAGTTGATTTATCAATCTGCATCCTCACCCTGTAATGTATGACAATATCTGTTTCTTAAGATCCCCAGAGTGTGGTGTCAAATTTTCATAATGTACATTTTATGCTAATTTTACAGCCTATTATTTTCCTAATGTGTTTTATTGGCTGTGTAAGCTTTTACCATTGTTTTTCTTGGGTTTCCCAGGTTGCCATATCACCTGTAAATAAAGATAATTTTGTTGTTTTTACAGCTCAAATTGTTTTCTTGTCTAGTTGCTTGAGCTTATACCTCTGAGTCAATGGTAAATTATAATAGAGATAGTGGGTATTTTTGCCTTTGTTCCTGACTTCATTAGGGCTGTCTATAGTGCTTCCCATAACAAGATTCTGGCTTTGGAACTGAGGCTTATATAGTTTTTTCATCCTAGTTTGAATGCTTAAAAAAAACCTCTAAGAATAGGTGTTGAATTTTGTTGAAGGTCTTTTCAGTGATAATAATGCTAAAAGCTGATTCTTAAATTTCTATTTATATGGTAAATATCATTTAAGATTCATGGGAAGTCCTGGTGTGGCACTGTGGGTTGATGGGCTGGACTGCAAAGTCAGTTTGAATCACAAGATCAGTGGTTCAAGCTCACCAGCTGCTCCTTGGAAACCCTATACAGGGTCGCTGTGGGTCGGACCTGACTCTACTGCACTTAACAATAGCAGAACTCATGGAGGCATGGTCTTGGTTATATGGTATATCTTTAACTCTTTGGGGAGCAGCCCAGTGCTTAACTCACAGTAGCACTAGAGCTCCTGTTCTTGGCCCAAATGTAGAATAATGACTTCTTTTCTATATGTGGGCCTACAAGTCACAATTACTATCATGTGACTTTCATAAAAGCTTTCATTAGCCTACAAAAATGATATTTTAAAACAATGAAGCCAAAAGCACTTTCCACAATGTGTCATTTATTCCTCAGCTGCTTCATGACATTTCAAACACAAGTATCTTGAGGCTTCCCTGCAAACCTCTCACCTGAGTGTAGAGGTCCAAGAAACTCATTGGATGAGACTTTCCTGTTGTTCTTGTTGAGTGCCGTTGAGTCGGTTCCAACCCATAGCAACCCTGTATAGGGTTTCCGAAGAGCAGCAGGTGAGCTTGAACCACTGACTTTGCAGTTCAAATGGCTTTTCAGTTTGGTGCATTAACCCACAGCGCCACACTAGGACCCTATGCAAAATGTCACCCTTGTTCCTCCTGTGCCCAGGCACCCTCCCAGCTGCTTCTCCCCTCCAGGCACTTCTCCACCCCCCCACCCAGCAGTCATCTCCACAGCCGTCTGTCTGTCAGTGGGTCTGCTCCCTCCATCCATCGTCTGCTACATGCCAGCTTTACTTTGCTTGATACTACAAGAAAACGAAAGATCTCCAGCACACAGTTGCTCAGTTTCTAAAATTACACTGCACATTTCTGTTCAGCTGCACAGTCGGCATCCTGGAGCATCTTCGTTTTATATTCTCTAGTCTCCCCGGCCCCTCTGTAGCTTCTGAGTTTGAGTAATTTCTCTTTTGCAGTATAAGTTGAGGAGATGTACCAGTCCTATTTGATGCTCCTCTGTCCTTGGTGGTGTCCTGGTGTGGTGCCATAGGATAAGCACTCAACCTCAAGGTTGTTTTGAATAGGAGGGTTGGCAGTTCAAACTCACTAGCTGCTCCTTGGGTCACTACCAGTCAGAACTGACTTGACAGCATTTAGGACCAACAACAGCAAACTGTCTTCTATGAGGAGGCAGTGCCATTTTGTATCATAGAGCACAACACAGCTCTACCTGAAAGTCTGACTACCAGCTAGTGGTGTTGAGGGAGCCATTGAATCAATGAACTGCATTAGGAGTCCTAGTGAGGTGCTGTGGGATAAAGCACTGGACCGCAAGCCACAAGATTGGCAGTTCAAACTCACCAGCCGCTCTGAAAAAACCCTATACTGGGTCGCTATGAGTCAGAACTTACTAGACAGCAATTAACAATAATAGTAACGTGGTTTGGTGGTGCCTGTCTATGTCTGCCTGTCTGTGTCTGTCTTTCTGTCTGTGTGTCCATGCCTGTTTGCCCCCAGAGTGAGCATAGGTCTATTCTTACATGGTTGAACCTTCGATTTTGGAGACAATTGGTTCATTATTAAAATACTGTTCTAGAAAAACAGTGGATTTCATGTGTGTTTGTTGTTGTTGTTAGGTGCCATCGAGTCGGTACCAACTCATAGCGACCTTTTGCACAGCAGAACGAAACAGTGCCCTATCTGGGCCAACCTCACTACTGTTGCTACCTTGAGTCCATCGATGCTGCCACTTGGCCAATCCATCTCATTGAGGATCTTCCTCTTTTTCTCTGACCCTCCACCTTACCAAACGTGATATCCTTCTCCAGCGACTGGTCCCTACTGACAACATGTCCAAAGTATGAGAGATGAAGTTTGGCCATTTTGGCCTCCAAGGAGCACTCTGGCTACACGTCTTTCAGAATGGATCTGTTGGTTCTTTTGGCAGCCCATGGCACTTTCAATATTCTCCTCCAACACCATAACTCAAAAGCATCAATTCTTCTACAGACTTTCTTATTCACTGTCCAGCTTTCCCATGCATATGAGGTTATTGAAAATACCATGGCTTGGGTCAGGCGCACCTTACTCCTCAAGCTGACATCTTTGCTCTTCAACACTTTAAAAGGGTCTTGTGCAGCAGATTTGCCTAATGCACTACATAGTTTGATTTCTTGACTGCTGCTTCCTTGAGTGTTGATAGTTGATCCAAGAAGAATGAAGTCCTTGACAACTTCAATCTTTTCTCCATTGATAAGAATGTTGTTTATTGGTCCAGTGGTGAGGATTTTTGTTTTCTTTACATTGAGATGTAATCCATACCAAAGGCTGTGCTCTTTGAGCTTCATCAGTAAATGTTTTAAGTCCTCTTCATATTCAGCAAGCAAGGTTGTATCATCTGCATATTGCAGGTTGTTAATGAGTCTTCATCCAATCCTGATGTCTTGTTTTTCTTCATATTACCCAGCTTCTCAAATTATTTGCTCAGCATACAGGTTGAATAAGTATGGTGAAAGAATACAACCCTGTCGCACACCTTTATTAATTTTAAACCATTCAGTGTTCCCATGTTCACTGTAAAAAAATCATTTTTACTTCCATAAAAATCAGCCAAAGTTTACTTTGCTTGTGCTCAGTGCCCAA